AAAAAGGAGAAATAACCAAACACAGCAAAGCTTGGCCTGTAGTTAAACAATTAGTTAACTGGTCGTCGTTTACTCAGACACGGAAATCAAACGTAAAAAAAGAACATGAAAAAGAACATTTAGACGTTAGATTTTGTGAAGCCGTTAGTAAAGAGAATTCGCAGCTGGTTTGCAAAAAAAAATAACGCGATTTTCTAGTGGATAATGTCAACTATAATTCTCAGAACTCTTAACTGATTATTGCTTGTTAACTTCAGAGATATTATTGAATCTCGAACAATTGAAAAAACTGTATGTGTTGAATGTTGTTTGTTAATGATTAGATAAAAACAAAAAATGTTACAGGCCAAACCTGGGCTTTCGGATTAGGTACACGCACGTTGGACGGTGCAACATGTCGTTGGCTCAAACCGAGAGGAGTAGAAGCCTGTCCAGCGGTGTTAGGACGCGGATTTGCTAAAGGACGCGCTGTCGTTGATGCTGGCCGTGACAACCTCGCCTGCTGTTTTGTTGTAGTGTTACGTGATCGCGAAGACAGAGGTGTTGTTGAATGTTGCTGAGAACGCGGCTATAAATTGGTTAGATGGGAGAAAAGCACTAGTTGTAAGTCCAGCAACCAAACCGAGAAGGCTAAACCCTACGATTTCTAAGCTTTCATGTCACAAAATAAAAACAGCAACTTAAGAGTCAAAAAGGAAAAAAAAATGAGCAGATTTTTGTAAAACCATTTAGAAAACAGATACTGTCATCACCCAAATTCATAATCGAGCTGAATACGCGCAGTAAACTATAACCCATTAAAAAGCGCTTGAATTTCGCGAAAAAAATTCTGATAGTCTTGAGCCTAAGAAAAAATGTTAATCAAAGCAAAAAGACATCAACCACAAGAAGATTTAAATCGATGATCAGTTCTTTACTAAAAAATGATGCAACAAACCTGCTCAATGCTTCCGGTATACTCCTTTGTATTCGCGTTCATCTGAGTTGGCCTTGATACTGCGGTGGCAGCTGATCGCGGGCTTACAGAGCTAGACCTGAACAAATACTATTACTGGAAATGTTATGAAATCATCAGATGTAATGAGCACTTCCAATAAAAATATCTATATGAGAATACCAGTTACGAAATAGATATTGGGATCGATCAAATCCTCAAAAAAAGAGTATTGCACTTTCGTATACAACTGGAAGAATTGGCGCTTCAACACGAATGTTTAGTTCAATACCTACACAAATGTACAGTTCAATACCAATACCAAACCAGAGGAAAGAAGCTTATAATCAACCATAACATCTTAATTTATCAATAAAACGTAAGGACAAATTGACTGTACTCAAAATGGCTTAACAGAAATTCTGTACAACGGTGCTTTACAACTACAATATAACAGAAAACCTGAAACATAACTAATGTCTCTGAGTATGATAAACAGTTCTTTAGCTGTTCCGATCAATTTTCCTGAGGTCTGTATTTTGCACTACGATGATAGCAAAAGACAAAAATAATTTCCTAGTGATTGTCTTAGTCACCAGAACTA